TCCTGAGTAGAATGGTAAACTGTGAGCTCCTGAGTAGAATGGCTTTGTGCCTGGAGCACTGTTGGCCCAATAAAGGTCTGGCAAAGCATTTGTTGAAGTTGGATCTCTTCAGAGTCACACTATAATGGAACTGTGAGCTTGAGTTCTGTGATTTAATTGTAATAATAGGGATGCTATATACGGGTAATTTAGTTCAGAGACAACCACTAATTCCACCAAGTCGGAGGCCCTCACAGAAATCCAGAGATCTACGTCTCTATGACTCCAACGTCCTTTCAAATGATCCAAGCCACGGCACAGAAAAGCCATCTACACTCCACGTTCTGCTGTTAGTGCCTCAGCCTGGACTTAAACCCAGGGAACTGAGATAAAATTACTCAACCCCTCTACTAAGTTATTAGCACTTATTCTTTACATATTCTTTATATTTGTCCCTCTCCTTAGCTTACTGTGTCTGCACATCACAGGAACTTAATAGTGTTTTTCTAAATATGGATCTTGGCAATAAAAGTTATAAAAAACCCTCAATATTTTTAATGATAAAAATTCATCACAAGGAGTATAAGGCAGAGGATGGGAGAGGGAAAAAAAAATCCTACACATGAAATAAATACAAGGGAGATGAGAAGGAGAAAACTTCTCCTTTCCACTACATTCTGCCTTCAGATTACTTCCTCCAAAAAAGGAAATTCATAGATAACTATCCTTTATTAGATCAACATAAGTAGAGATCCAAAAGTATGGTTTCTACTGTGAACAAGTACTAGACATTTGAGGAAATTCACCAACATGAAAGACAGACAGGAATTAAGGAGAAAAAAAGGAAAAAGAAAAGTTGCCTACACATCAATCAGACACAGTGCACAGAAAAAAATATTCAGAATGAATCTTATTTTTAGCCTCATAAAAAGGTTGCATCCTTAAAATAAAAATAGATTAATATAGAAAGTCAAAGAATAAAAAGGTCTTAAAAATATGATTGCTAAAATTAAACATTCAGTAGAAAAGTTGGAAGATAAACTCAAGGAAATCTCCAAAAAAAATAGAACAAAATAACAGAGATAGAACATATGAGACAAAAAAGAGGAAAAAAAAGAACATAAAAAATAAATTCAGGAGATCCATCCTCAGGAGTTTTAGGAGGAAAACAGAAAGAACAGAAAAACTGAATAAAGAAGTATCAAGGGCCGGCCCCATGGCTTAGCAGTGAAGTGCGCGCGCTCCCCTACTGGCGGCCCCGGGTTCGGATCCGGGCGTGCAATGACGCACCGCTTGTCCGGCCATGCTGAGGCCGCGTCCCACATACAGCAACTAGAAGGATGTGCAACTATGACATACAACTATCTACTGGGGCTTTGGGGAGAAAAAGGAAAAAAAAAAAAAAAGGAGGAGGATTGGCAATAGATGTTAGCTCAGGGCTAGTCTTCCTCAGCAAAACAAAAAGAAAAAAAAAAAGAAGTATCAAAGTAACAATTTAATCAAATTTGCCAGAGATAAGGGGCATGACTGTCCAAACTGAAAGGACCACTGGATGCTCAAAAAAAAAAAGCATAAGAGGGCAACCCTAAAAAAATTATCATAAAATCCCTAAAATAACAAGGCTAAAGATAAGATTCCAAACAATTTCAAAAAGGAAAAAAAATTCCACCTCTAAAAAGACACACAATTATCTATCTAAAGCTATCTATCAGAAGCTAGAGGTAATTAATGAATTTCTTCAAAAGTTTGAGAGAAAATGTTTTCCAACCCAAAATTTTACACCAAGACAAACTCTCGGTTTTGTTTAAAGGCAAAATAAAAACATTTTAGGAAATGCATTTTCAGACAAAGTTACCTAAAATGCCCTTTCTTAGAAAGTTACTGAAGGATGTTTTCCAGTAAATAAGGTAGTAAATTAAGAGATACTTATGCAATTCAGGACACAGTGGCTCCAATTCAAAAAAGCAGTAATGAGAAGTTCCAGGCTGACAACTGTGCAGCAGACCTAAAGATAACCAGCCAAGACTGGAAGAGGAGAGGAAAACAGAATGAACTAGAAGGAAGAGCTCCAGAGGAGTGTAAAACAGAGAGAAAAAAAGACATATTCTATAGATTAGCTGATATGAGAAAGCATTGAAAACAACTGATATAAAAAAAATGAATGAAGGAAAAAAGGAGGATGGGAGGGGGGGAAGAAGGGAGGAAACAGAGACCCAAGGTGTAGGGGAGGGTGGGGGAAGAAGCTATACCAGAAAGGAAATATAATAATAGAATAATACTCTGTTTTGTAATAAAAAAAATATTTCATAGTCACAATGTTGTAAATATATGTAACTTATTCAACTAAAAATAGTTAAATAACTATACTGGAAAGATGGAGGGGAGAGAAAGGAGAAAATGTTAAGAGTTGAAGTCTCATCTTTATCATAAGAGCAAGTCAATGCATAACGTTCAAAATTTATGATTCAAGTAATATAAATATAAGATTTGGAGATACAGAGGTAATTGCTAGAAGAGATAGGTGAAATAAATTAAATATGGGAGCAAGGCTAAAGAGTGGAGAGGGATGGGGAATAGTTAGGCAAGGGACTGTCATTCGTCCTTATGCCTTTTGTTACAATTTGATATTTTTAACTGTGAAGATTACTTTGATTTAAATATTTTTAACTATCAAAAAGCATAAAAAGTTCCTTTTATTCCACAAAGCGAGTTTTGCCTGTAGGGGTAAGAAAGTTTGAAAAATACCTATGTCTACAGATAGAAAGGAATGAGTTACCATGGCAACTCTGCAGCAGTAAGAAGAATAAGTTATAAACACCCAGATAAGGCAGTGGCAATAGGGATTTAGAGAGATAAAGGGCCACTCTAAGGAGAATGATGCCTAGGTACCTTGAAAGACAGCTCTCTCAGTCAGGGCAGTGGGTTGTTATGATGAGATAGTAGAGAAATGAGAACAAGCCAGATTTCCCCGTCTCCCCAGAGATCCTAAGAGTTGGCAACCACTGTTGTTAGTGAGGTTTAGCTTCTGATTAAGGTTATCAAAATCTACAAACCAAACTCAAACAGAATCTTTCTTATGTGAATATTTCTGGTAATGTGATCAGTTCCCTGTGTATTATTATGTAAACAAAGGCTTCCCATCTATCAGCTCTAATAATGATAATAACTAAAGTTAGTTTAGAGCTATTTTTGTACATTGAAAATTTGAGAGTTACCAAGCACTTTCCTGTACCTTATTTTATTTGATTTACAAAACAACCCTAAGATATAGGTAATGCAAAGTATTACTGCAATCTCCCCCATTTTATAGACAAGAAATCTGAGTTTCAGAAAGTGATTTGCACAATTTACATAGCTAAGTAGCAAGGACTCTTGAATTCAACTGTGTCCCCTGATGCCATATCTTACACTCAATCCTTGACATCACATGCCTGAACTACAGGCCACACTGTTAACTGGTATTAGCTGACTGCCCACACACAGGGCACCAAGAGGACTGCCCACACATAGGGACACTGTGAATTACCATACAAACGGAGGCCAACAAACACAAAGGTAACAATCCAGGTACTGGGTGGGAGCTGAGATCCAGGCCCCCACCTCCCACCAACACTACACCCTAGCTCAGGCGTGAGCCTTTTTATAATTTGTACAAAGGCACCATTTATGTAAAAGGGAAGCCTTGCCCACATACACAAATTAACAAGTTTAGCCGCCTACCTCTCTTCTTTCTTACCTCCCTCTAACACTCCCCAACCCTGCAACGACCATGAAATGGAAATCCTCTTATTGGCTTCTGTCTCACACCAGAAGACACACCAGATCCATTCATTCATTAAAATAAACATGAGATAAACATATATATATGTGTGTCAGCTGCTATTCTAGGCACTAGGAATTGAGCCTAGTGGTTAACAAGGGCTCTGATCTCACAGAGCTGATATGCCTGGCAGGGGAAAGACAAACGAATGCACGAGAAAAATATCAGAAGTGACAAGTGTTATCAGAAAATTAAAATGAGTTGACATCATAGTGATTGAATAGCTGGCTAAATTGGGGGATCAGGAAAGGCATCTCCAGGAGGTGACATTTAAGTAGATATTGGAAAGATAAGAGAAGACCCACCAAGGGAAGACCAAAGAAAAGAGGACTGCAAGAAGAGACAGCTAATGCAAACCCCGGGGCGGGAACAAGCTTGATCGGCTCAATGGAACAGAATCGAGTCAGTGAGGCTGTGCAGTGAGGGTGGGATGAATGTCTGTGGGGAGAAGCTGGAGAGGCAGGCAGGGGTCAGGCTGAGCAGAGCCTATGAGCCAGGTGGAGAGTTTGGACAGTGGGAAGTACAGTGGGAAAAGTACAGTGGGAAAAAAATTTAAGAAGGGGAGTGACAGGATCTGATTTACCTTTTACAAAGGACCTTTCTGGATGCTGTGTGAAGAATGCAATTTAATGGGGCAAAAGAGGAAGACTCCAGTCGCCTAAAGGAGACTTGTGATTAGATGTAGAATGCCTTGTATGCGTGAAGCTGCTGAACTGCTCAAACTGCACCAGAGATCAGGCACACGAGAGGCCTTCTCAAGGATTTGTGTTACTTTGCTGGGAACCTAAGACTAGAGAAAGAGTGCTCATGTATAATTGGTGCTGAATGGTTTCTATCCATGTATACACCTCGTTTATTCTCTGTGAAGATCCCTGGCTTCCTCGGATAGACTAAGTTGTTCAGCTTCCTATGCCTCAAGCACCTGGTGCGTATGTCTTCAGGTACACTTCACACCACATACACAGTTGTTTGCTCCAGAGACTGTAAGCTCTGTGAGGGCTGTCCCTTGTTTTACTCATCTCTGTGTCCCTAAGTACTTAACACAACACCTGGTACTTTACAAAAGCTCAATAATGGCTGGTGGGGTGGATGAATGTTTGATCTGGGGGCTGTGCGAACCCTCTTTTGTCTCTAGAAGCCAAAGGGATAAAACAATGTTAGAAATGCACCCTACAAGCAGGACACCCCAAGCCCCAGTCCCTTACCTCTTGGGTGAGTCTGGGTCGAAGCAGGTCTTGTGCACATCAGTCACCTCAGGGTCACAGCAATCCCCATCATCAAAGTCGTTCAGCATATTGTTGCACTCCACATGGCAGAGCCCATCCCTGCGGTTCCAGGAGTAGCACCGGCCCTGCAGGCGGCAGTCGCCCCCGTCATAGCCCGTGAGTGGGTGCTCACACTCAGGGTCACAATGGTCATTACCAATCTTGCTGGGCTCACAGTTCACAAGCACGACCCGGTGGCGCAGGGTGGAGTTGTGGACCCGGTGGACGCTCAGCTGCCAGCTGATGTTGTAGCGGTTGAAGGCTTCATTCAGCGCCTCATGCTGCCGACTGATCTGCTCCTCACTCACGGTGGGGTTCAGGCCCTCATCGTCACAGATGTTCACCACCTGGTAGCGTATCACCTTCTCTCCCCGAAGGGGCCAGTGACCATTGTACTGAGAGATCAGTTCCACATTGTCACAAGCTGTTTGCCCACAGAGTGGGGGCTGCAAAGGTGAGAGAATCTCAGGCTCTGGCTCAGAGCCCTGGAGAACCTCAAGCCTTGGGTACTTCGCATCTCTAAAGGGGGCCCACTGTTCTTCCAGGGGCTCAAAACTGGCTGTCAGGATCAGGGTAGTCAACTCCTCCACGCCACTTGGATGCTGAGGACTGTGCTGGAGGTGGCTTTGTGGGAGAGCAGTTGACCAGAAGACCAATGTGCCCAGGTGTCCACGGAAATAGTGCCCGTTCTCAGAGCCATCACCCCCCAGGATCAAAGAGCGGCAAGATGCCATGAAGGGGCTGTTCAGGGGACCAGACTGGTCTGAGCTACTGGCTACCTGAGTGCCATCCACATACAGGGCCATACGCTGTCCGTTGTAAGTGGCTGCCACGTGTGTCCACGTGCCTGGTTGGTAGCGACTGTGGCCAATCACAATGGTGGCTTTCTTCACGCGGTCAGTGCGAAGGGAGAAGAAGAAGCGAGCATCTCGCCTTCCCATGTCCTTCCCTGAGCGGATGCCCAGGGCCCAGCCCTTGTCACTGACAGTGTGGGAGCAGTTATCAAACACACCTGGGAAAGAAGGAAGGGTTGAGGGGAGAAATACCAGATACAAAGGGGGATGAAGAAAGGGAGAAGAAAACCCATGTAAATAGCAAGTAGGTAGGTTTTTAATGGGAAAAAATTAAATGATACAGATTCCTCACCTGAGATGCCTGTCCAGTACCCCATATCAGGCCATTCTGACAACGTCTATCCCTAAAAGGAATCTGACTTGAGATTCCATCCAATTTAACTCATTCTGGTATTTTTAAATAACCAAAATGGAAGCTGGAAAGGGGATGTCTAATGCAAGTGACAATCGTCCTCTAGCACTTTGTCACAAATGTTCCTCACGCTGACTTTGAGTCCATGCCTTCCCACCCTGATCCTAGCCCCTTTCCATTTCCTCGAAGCCATAAAAGCCATCACAGTTTTTACAAAAGGCAGTAATCTCCTACCCCCTCAAAAGCTCATTTTTCTCTACTGGAGTTGAAATGATGATTCTCACGGGGAATACAAGGAGTTAGTGAATCAGGGAGTCCCTCAGAGAAGACTAATATCCCAGAGGTCACTCTCAGCACACTCTTCCCTCCAGTGCCTCTCTAAGGGCGAGGACACCCACCATGGAGAACAGTAGTTCCCCAGAGTAAGCAAAATGCCTCTGCTCCATGGTCCTAGCCTGAAGAATCAGTCAAGTCAGTAAGAAGAATGACTGCTCTATAACCAGTGATGCCCACCACAGAACAGAAGCGGAACTCTCGCAGATAAAAGGAGCTCCTCACCACAGGCTACCTTATCACCTTGCTCATTGCAGTCATAGGACTACGAGTCCAATGGAATACACAAAAGAAGGAACCCCTGGAGATAACCAGATCATTAATAAGTTGGCAGCAGGAAGGAGGAACAAGGTCAGATGTAACATGACCACAGATGAAAGAGAAATCCTGAAGGCAGTTTGGAGGCCTCGAATGTTCCCCTCTTTGGTATGAACCACCATCTCCTCCCAGGCATCTCTTCTAAAACATAGCTAGAGTCTCAGGAGCAGATCTTACTTGTCAGTTGCATAGAGGCAGTACACTCACACAAGAAATGCTTAAGAAATGCTGCTTTAACTAATGGATGAATGATGGACAAATCTGCCGAACTTGGGATCAGACACCTGAGACTAACACCAGGAGCTGCTCTCCCCCAGCCTTTATATAGAATTTTATTTATTCCCCTGACCTCCTATATAGTCCACTCAAACAGTACTTCTCTATGAAGACTCTAGATTTATAAGCCATGAGACCTCCCATTCTGATTGCAGGCAGGTGTTTTAAAAAGAGCTACATTTTCATAAATGACAGAATATCATCTCTTCTGCCTGTAGCATAAATTAATAACTTGTGATTTAAAAAATAAAAAGTGCTTTTTAACAAAATCAACTCCTCTCCGACCCAGTAATTCTAACAGTTAGACTTTGAAGTACTGGTGATGACTAGGTACGACGCAATGGTGATGTTCCAGTTTTGTTTTGGGGGGATTTTTTGTTTGTTTTTGTGCTGAGGTCTAGGTGGTCAAGGAAAATAAGAACTACTGCTTTACAAATTCTTGGATGGGGTGGATTTTCAAAAAAGCAGACAAATCTACTGAGATGAATATTAAGTTCCCTGCTTAATATTTTCTCCTTGATTCACTTATTTTGATAAGTACATTTAGCCTTAATTATGTCCATCTGCTGACCTATGAACAAATATGCTACAATACTTAATATCAGGACCATAGAGTTACTAATCCTCGGCTAGTAAATATCTGCTGTTTGTTAAGAGGAAGAATTGAGGATGCTGTTTTATATTTGTTGCATATACACAGATGTGTGTATCTGAGTTGGGGTATAAATTATTAGGCTTGACATACAAATTACTAGATAATTAGCTTGTTAACTGCCAGCCACCTAGTTGCAATTTTGAACACTTTCACTCATCGTCCTTAGAACATCTATTCTAGATTCAATAAAATAATTGTTTCTACTCCCTTATCTCATAGGAAGCCATAAAATTATTGATAGTGAGTCTAACGTGATATTTCTAACTTCTTGAGACATTTCATAGAAGATGGAATTTTCTTATCATACTGGTCTAGTTCTGATTAATCTAAGTTTTAGTAACTATACCCGAAAGGATTTATTGGCCAAGAGCATTAAAATAGTCCATTTCAGTTGGGAGTTGTAGCAAGTATACAGAAGTATTACTTTTTGAATGATTACCACAGTAATAATTCTTTGCTCTCTAGTAAGATGTCCAAGCAGCATATGAGAAACCTCTAGGTTTCTCTAGGCACTTAGATAACTGCATTTTATTTGCTGTGTTACTGTTGTTCATACTTCTATAGGAAGAGAGAGTAAACAGTTGCTGAAGCACTGCCCTGCACTCACTCCAGGAGAAAAAAAAAAAAAAAAAGCACATTTAGCAAGTAGAATTCTCTAACCCAACTGCTATGGACTGAAAGTTTGTGTCCCCCTCAAATTCATATGTTGAAACCCTAATCTCTAAGGTTATAATATTTGGAGATGGGGCCTTTGGGAGATAATTAGGTCATGAGGGTAGAGACTCCATAACGGGATTAGTGTTCTCTTAAGAAGAGGAAGAGAGCTAGCCCTCTCTCTCTGCTCTCCATCATGTGAGGATATAAGAAGACAGCCATATGCAAACCAGGAAGAGGGTCCTCACCAGACACTGGCTCTGCCAGTGCCTTGATCTTGGACTTCCCAGCCTCCAGAACTGTGAGAGATAAATTTCTTTTGTTAAGCCATCCAATCTATGGTATGTTTATTATAGCAGCCCAAACTAAGACACCAATGTCATCACCCCTAGCTGTGGATCAGAATCACATGAGGAACTTTCACAAATACAGATTCTTGTGAAACCACGTTGAGAGCTGCTGATAACTCCTTATTGACAAAAGAAATCAAGCTTCTCACTGCTTCTCAGTGGATGGAAATACAGAAGACAGAAGTTGGAAGTCTTAGTATTTTCCAAACAGTGAAGGAAAATTAGAAAGATTGTTATCAATGCTAAGTTAAATCAGACATGAATGTGGAAAGCTCATCTGAAATTCTTTTAAACCATTTAAGAATCACATTGAATCAGGCATCTTAGGTTTGTCTGAGGTTTCTATGCAACCATAGTACATACTTGCTTATTAATTCAGCAAACTAATGGAATGAGAGGTACTTAAAAGAAACAAGGGTCTGTTATGAACAGGTGCACAGACATGATGCCGTTAGGGAACATGGCTAATTGATTAGCTAGGATTGATAATTTATTGGTGCTTTTTATGATTTGTAATAAAAACTCATATGTAAGACTACTGAAATGGAAATAAATATCTCCTGCCCCCACTGAAAGATCTATTCCTCCAAGGGAGGAAACTGTGGCACTGAAGCCTGGTGTGACTTATCTCTCCCTGAGAATCACTGCCATCAGCCCCAAATGCTTTCATGAGATCACGAGTGAGTCCTTGTCAGGATTTTCAAAATTTCCAAGGGCAGAATAAATAAATATTTCTACCCTCCTGCATCTTCTATAGTCTGTACTGGTAATAATCCATTTCTCCAATCTGGAGGATGTGAATAGAGAATTATATGATTCTCCTCTCCCTTGAGACTGAAGAAACCAGTACACAGTTAGGCTGGAATTGCAGCCTGTGCTCAAACACAGATTTAGCCTCAACATTGAAGCTATAACCTAGAAGCTCCAAGCTCCACCCCTTGCTGGTGGGAAGAAGATCATGCTTGGTCACTTGAAGGGTTGTCACCCTACTAAACCACAAAGGGCTCACATTTCACCTCACTGTCCTGCTCCTCCTGGAAAAAGGAATTCCATTGGGAATTAGTCATTTTAGTTCATCAGCATTTACTGAACACCTCCTTCATGCCAGACATAGACACTCTTCTCATCTTTGGAAGAAAAGGTGGTCTTTGCCCTGAGAAGTTACAGTCTCATGGGGAAGTGAGAAACACAGACGATGATTTCAATATAATATCAGAACTAAGATCAAGGAATACATAGGTGAATGAAAACAGAGCCTAACCTCAACCCATAGTTCAGAGAGGACTTCCTGAGGGGATGGGACCCAAACCTACTCTTGAAGAGTGTGTAAGGCAAACGAATTATAGAAGATGGTTCCACACAGTGGGGACAGCAGGATGAAGGTACCAGGGGCAAAACAGGTCAAGGTAGGTCTTATATAACACAGTGAGAGGCTTCGACTGTATAAATTAGGGAATACCTAGAGGTTTCTGTACTGCTGCCAAATGCCTCTCACATCCAGAGAGTACACAGAGTAACTAGCATGAAACATCCCATGGTTGGCCTTGCCCCACATATTAGGCCCAACTGCAATTAAGACACCCAAGGAACTTTCCAAAGCTTGCAGATGGACAACTGTAGCACAAGAAACACATGAACACCACAAGAGGACCTAGGTACTTGTTCAGTAGATATCTATGAAGTAATACTAGCTGCCAACTCCAGTCCTCGGTGCTGAGGATTGCTATAGTGACCAAATGTTTATTTGACATCATGGAGAGTTCAGTATGGTGCAGAAGATAAAACTTAATAAATAACTATAATAAAATATGCTGACTGTTGGAAGTATAAGTAGCTATAGGAACAGCAAAAGGAGCTCTTTATTAAAACATGGATGTAATACGGCAGAAATTTTCCCTAAAGTTACTAAATGTCAACTTTCCAGCACTGACCCGTCTTGTTAATAATTTGATTCCTAGAATGCATCCACAGCCAAATATGCCCCTGAAACTAGGGTTACCCTGATTACCAGCCAGGCTGTCTGAGAAGGTGAAGAAGACCCAAAGCCAAAGAATTCCATGAGATAACTTCAGACAATCCCAGATCAAAGGGCCTGCCAGTTCACCCAGAAACAGTCCCTGTAAGATTCCTTAGAACCTGAGTTTACATAAAATACCCACTTCAGGTCAATCTTCTAAATTGGGCTGTGCTGTTCTTTTTGTGAATATTTTTTCCTTCACT